AGTTGACAGGAGGCCATTTTCGATTAGCAACACGTATCCAGCACAACTTACAGTATGTGTGGATTAGCACTAATTGCTAAACAAGAAGAAACCAAATGTGGATTGAATTTGAATGAACAACTCCCTTTAAATGTTGTTTTTTAAGAATGTAATCACTACCAGTTGGCATCTCCTCTATGAGGCTGAAGCACTTAAAGCTTTCTAATTTTATCTCCCTCCTTCCATCCATTTATCCTTCATTTCCTCCAAGTTACAACATTTCCAGGGACAATAACAGTGATTCAGTAGACTTTGTAGGAGATACACTGTTCATAAAGTGCGTCCTGATTATTTCTGTGTTCTCACAGTCATCAGGATGAGCGGTTTGGAGAAAGGGTGGATGGATCTCTCAGTCATTCTACTGTATTTTGTTCCTCTGTATGGGAGAAAGACCTTGTGGTGAGCTCCAGCAGTCAGCAGTAACGTCACACTGGTATTGAGCCTGTGGAAGACTCAGCCAATGCGAACTAATGTATCAAGATGGGATCCTGTCTTGGTTGGTTTGATTCAAGATGGAGTTACAGCAGCGAAGACAAGTGAATTGTGGCCTGTTTGGCGATTTTTGAAACAGCAGATACTCCTACTGAGACCATGAAGCCTTAGAATGAGAAGTGAGGTCAGGTATGACAGAGACTGTGTGAAAGCTGTTGGTGAGTCAGTATTTTTCCATGTGACTAAGAAATTATAATGCCAAAATTGTTATGCCAAATGCGAATCACACTTATATGGTGCTACGTCTAGGGTTAGGGGACAGCTCTAGCAGTCAGCACCGCTAATGTAACAACAAGACAATTACCTAGGTTACTCACACTCACACACACACACTTGCACGGAAATGACAGCTACAACTACTAACAACACACTGATAAGTCGTGATGTGCATTCATTTTACAGTTGATTTAGTAACATATTTAAACTCCAAGCTGATTCAGATTAAGGCATTACAATTCTTAAGTTACATTTAGTGGCTTTTGCTGTGGAGAAACAACAGGCCTTGACCACTTGTGAATCCCCACTGTACCTAGAAGAATGCTTTAAACAAAATTGGTGAATGTGACAAATTCTCTTCATTCAATTCATTTAAGAAGTAATCTGATTCTTGAATGAGGCCAAATCATTTCTGTTTACTACTGGCCTCAGTAATGGCCATGCTAATATTTTCTCATCAACTCAGACAATTTCAGTGGTATAAATATACTTAAGTACTTTGCTTAACTACTGTATGTATGTGTTTGCCATATGATTTAGCCAGTGACTCCCACATTTGGTTACCCCTTACGGGGAAGCGGTGTGTAATTGGGGCCCCTTGTCACTTTTCCTTGTCTATGAGTTAATAACCTTTTGAGGCCCAAATGGTTAAAGATATCCAATATTTCACAATAAATAAAAACACGTATGTAGCAAAGCTTTGTTCTAAGAAGTCATATCACAATCCCTCAGATTTACCTTGTGACCCTTTGAAGGGGCTCAACCCATAGGTTTAAATACTGAACTGTATGTACTGTAAATAAGTTAAAACAAGCTCTATCTGCAGTTCTAACAGTTATGATGCACAAACAATCTAATAATTTCATATATAATATTCACGGGGGAAATCTTTTTGCTGAATGAGTACTTTTACTTAATTACTACAGGTCATTACAGATCAGATGCATTGTGGATCTTGAATGCAACTCTTATGGGATTTTTGGTATGCCTTCTCAGGGGATTCTTACTTTAAGAACAGTTTGCTGATAATACTTCTGTATTTGTACTTAAGTGAGACTGAATACAGGACCTTCACTTGAAGTATTATTACGTTAATGTACTGGTACTGCAGTAAAGGATCTGAATACTTCTTTCACGACTGGACTATTCTGACTCTCTCTTTTTCATTCACTTCCCCGCCAAACACTATCAACAATAACCAATACTGTCCACTTAAAAATACAGATGCCTTCATCAACAATTCCATCCACACTGTATGAGACTCTTCCTTGTTAAACCAACACGTCACCTGTTCTACTGTAACTGTGATGCAGATCCATCACTAGAGGAGCCTCTTTTTTTGCAGGAATTTACTCCACTTCACATATTCATTATATCCTGTAAGGTGTTTGGGAATACATCTCTGAATAGCTCTCTCCCCTCATTGGACCATGGCCTTAGGGCCTTTGTTATGATTGGACACTTACAAAAACCCGCCACCCCTTCTGTGTATCTCTTGTTCTAAAGGTCTGCTCCTGCATATTAAACAGTGTGGAGCGTTGCAGCAATCAAAGACATCTCCTTCATCCCTGTAACCCACCTCAATGAATAAATAAATATATAAATGAAATTAGCTGCTACAGAGACAATAACAACATACACTACACAGTGTGGTTGAAGAGAAGAGGTGTGTCTTCAAGAGGAGGATAAAAAGGGGGTGTGGGGGGGTGAGGCTTGTCACTGGGATGAAGACAGATGATGAGGCTGCATTGCTGTAAACGAGTGATTCAGCCCTCCCTTCAGACAGACACAGGCCTGCGGGAGGTGGGGGGAAATGCATGGGAACTGTCCCCGGTGCTGAAATCTGGAACGGCTGTTTTCCGGCAGCTTGAAGTTCAGCTTCAGAGCACAAATCTGTATCACTACTTTTTGTGTAACAGGTCAGTAAATTGACCTGCGGAATAGAATGATTTTCTAAATCCACAGCTGGGGGTATAATAAATGCCCAAACAAAAGCTTTAGAGGCTGTTGCTGGTAAGTTTTACCACACAGATGCTGGTATTTGGCATTCTGATCACAAAGTCAGGGGAGGGAGATTCTCTACCATGTAATTCTTTAGCAGCCAAGTCAAAAATATTCTCATTAAAGTACTTTTTATATCCTTGCCCCCAGTCCCTAGGGACAATTGTATTGGTTTGTCATGCTATTTGTAGACTAATCATGTTCACACACACACACACACACACACACGCACACACACGCACACACACACACACACACAAGGCCCATAAGAACGGAATGTGAAAGAGTCTGGATCAACAGGAATTGAATATTGCATTGTGCCTTTCAGGCATCGGAGCCCCCCCCCCCCCCCAACCCCCACCACCAATTTCTTTGAAACAATTTTGTTGCAGTATTCATCTTTCAAAGCTGTCATGCTTTGTGGCTAACCCTTCTGTCAGTTTGCTCAACATCACAGATGCACCATGAGATGGATTCTTACATTGTATATTGCAGACAGCTGATCAAACAAGGAATTCAGCAGGATCATTTAGAAGCAAGGAAGGTGATACAGCCATATTAGATACAGGTGTAACTTCTGAGAGGGTACAAAACATACTTCACACTGCAAAGAAATGCAATCGCCACTGTCACCTTTTATAACACTGTCACAGCAGCGGTCTATCTTTGGTCATTTAGACTTTGCAACTTGTTTCCCTTATTCTCCTACGGAACACCAAAGCAGGGCCTTTATTTGAGTGCTGAGTTAAAAAAAAAAAAAGAGAGAGCTTTGCTGATGGAGGTTCCTCACTTGTAAATAAATTAAATTAAAAACGGTCAATTTGCAGTCAGGCAGTAATAAACAATCCCACTCCTAGTTTGACATGAAAAGATTATGCAACAGGTCTAGTACTTGCAGAAGCCATCCAAGGCTATAAGGGTCATTGTTGCAATATACAGCATTTTAGATGAGGCCAACAGGAGAATGATGTCACAAGTCCGTAAATAAGGGTCCTTTTCTCGGGCACTGCAGAGACCAGGCGGGTGTGGTGACTGCATTAGTAGACGCGCAATCCCCGGCGCAAACGCTCGCGTAAGACCATAATGTGTTCCTGTGACGCCCTTTTCACCATCGTTATGACTACCTTCTACTAGTCGGACGTGCCTTTAAGTTCAAATAAATCTGCTGCCAGGGAATTAGACAAAATTGCCGATCTCGCTTTATTCTGACAGCCAGAAGGTGCCCATAGACGGTGCGCCTCCCCAAGCCCGTGTTTGATAGAAAAATACATGCACAATGACAATCTGACATCTGCTCTCCATCTGACAACAGCTTAGTATTCTCCACAGACACCCCGCTCTCTCCCTCAGAGCACCCCATGCCGCTTTTGAATGCCGTTTTCCCCCTGTACCCCACTCTTTATCATTCCTATGCGGCTTTTTTCCGAGCCAGTTTATTTCCACACACGAACAACAACGGAATTGAACAGCGGCTTCATAAAATATGCAGGTAAAAAGGCAACTCGGAAAGCACCGACATCTCAAGCACACCACTTTTCATACTCTACTGAGAACTGACCTCCCAGTCTAACGAATCCCACTCTTCGGTAAACATCCGGAGGATTTCTTTTCATCCAAAAAAGCGGACCAGGCGCAGCGGTTCTATGGAGCGACTGGGCGATGTGATGCCATTGCGCTTTTGGTATTATCCTCATGAAATCAATTTGAACAGGGGGACGTCGTCGGGAGAAAGCATCTCGGCGGCGTCGTCACCAACTTGAGCGACACAGATAACGATGCTATGCTTTACAGTCCAACATTTTTGCTCGGCGATGGTTGCAACCAATTAGTACACCACTTGCGCTCGGAGGCGAATAGCTCGTGACAAGTCGCTCCTTCTCCTGAGCATCGCTACTATTTCAGCTGCTGTGCTGCTTTTTGGAAAAAGGTGGCAGACTATACAACACACGCAACTTCTCATTTCCAGGATATAGGGGGGGAATTTAGCGTAGCGCGTACTCCAAAGCCAATAAATCCCTGTAGCGCATTTGGCAAATCCTTTCCCTCTGTTGAAGAGCAACAATAAAAGAAGCTTTTAAAGGTCTCTGCATGAAGTGCTTCTTAAACACGTGACTCCATCTAGGCTATTCCATGGTGGGGAAAAAAAAGATGCATTTGATCCATAATAGGTCCTAAGCAGTGGACGATACGTAATGTGGGGGCATTTATGTGCTAAAATGAATGACACTGGCACCACACAGTAGACTACTCACCATTAGCACAGCAAAGTTATTATGATGGGTGCAATGAACAGTGGTCGTGTTGCCCCCGGAGCCTGTTATGTGACAGCCCTCTGCCCTCCAGCCACCGTGTCCATCCAGCAGGTCAAAATCCCAATAGGCTGCAGTGGGGTCTACACCCAGTGCGAAGTGCCTGAGAGCGATAGTAACGGAGTGCACGGCGCTCCCGAGGCTGCACCCATCTGCAAGAAAAGCAGGTCGTTCAATTAAGGAAACCAAGTGGAAAGTGTGTAAGTGCTATGGCAAAGGAAGCGTGGACACGGGCGCGCACATTCTCATACAAACTCGTGGAAGACAGACTGTTGTGTTGCAGATAAACTTCAAAATAGAAACCTAAAGTAGCTAGTTCTGTAGAAAGACAAATGCAGCTGTTAAGTACAATGTGATGTAAACATTGATGCAGTGACATTAATTGAAATTAAATAAGCGGTAATTGAGTTTTGATTTATTTTGGCAACATGTACGCTACACTGTGACGCTTGTGTGTCAACATGTTGCGCAGAACAAACTGATAGACTGTGTGTGTGTGTGTAAGCATGTAGTCGGCAATACAGTACAGCGTTGACATCACAGGCATGGAGATAAAAATGGATTTCCTCTTACCTAATTTGGTGAAAGCAACTGGTGTTGAAACGCTCCTACGCTTCCCATCATCTGCGAGATTTGACGAATTCCCCGTGCAAGGAAAGAGTTTCCCATTGCGAAACACAATAAACTGCAGCTTGCAAGTGGAGTTATCAACAGATTGCAACGCAGAGGAGGATATAGGCGTACCAGCCAGCGGTAAATGGATTGAGGCGACTGCCACTGAGTTCTGCGGATGGAACAAAAAAAGAGAGGAAAATAAAAATTAAATAATGTCTCCGAAATGCGCAGAAAAAAACAAACTCCCATAGAAAAAGACTGACAAATTGCTTTCCTCTCCAGGAGTGGAGGCGACCATAGACCACAAGTGACCAAGGGAATGAGAATCACGTTTGAAGCGCTCTAGTGCGCCTATTTGGTCAGGCTCCCTGCCGCAGAGGTGGAAATGGTTCTTACCATTTCAGCTTGAGGGCACATCAACACTGCAGCTTGATTTAAAGAGACAACCGGTCTGACTTTATCTTCTTTTCACCGACTATAAACACTGGAGAACCCCCGAAAAAAATTCCCTGGCAATATTTGGGAAAGGGGGTTTCTAGGAGAAAGGCATGGCTTGTATGTCAAGGTGTGTACCCTCGCCATCTTTGAGCACAAATCCACACTCATCTCATAAACTTGTTTTTTTTTTATTGCTGTAGTGCAAAACCCCAAAGAATTCGGAGAGAAGGCATGCCAAAAATCCCATCAGAGATTCAAGATCCACAGTCCATCTGATCTGTTATGACCTGTAGCTAATAATTTTGAAAACTGAACAAATGCCATATTAGCAGTCAGGAGTCTATGCCTATCCTGTCCCAAGAACACCTGTGCTAAAATCAAGATCCAGCCTTTTGAAGCTGCATGATAACAGCTGCAAGAACTTTGCCACAGCTCAGGGTTTAGTGAATCGATGCCCCTGGTGGACAGAAATGTTGTTCAAGGGTGTGTGGACCAGTGACTGACCGCACTTAGGCTGGAAAAGGCAGCACTTGCCCCGTCAAAATATCAAGTTTAATCATAAAAAAACAAAAGCTTTCAAAGGGGCACTGTGAGCATGCAATTCCTACAGGTGTGGCCACACACTCAACTCCATGCATCCCATCAACAGAAATAACTGCACAGGATATAATGTGCTCAATATTTCATAGATAGAAATATGTAAGAGGAGCCAGTGTGTACTTGCAAAGGCTAATAAACATGTTTGAAAGTAGAAGCCTCTACACACAATCTCAATTGTAATTTTCTCAGAAATGTGCTAATCTTCTGGTCAGTGACCTTCATCGGGGTGTGAAGCACTTGCGCACAAAACAGACTGATATCCTCTTTGTTGATTCATTAGGAAGTAATTACACAGAAACTGCTCTTTCAAATAAACAGAACAACTGTGGTTATTAACACATTTCTGTACTGTGAACAGATTTTTTAGGAAGAAGCAGAAACACTGAAGGTCCCCACATATTATCCAGTAAGTGACCCTAATGGAGAATGATGCTAATGACAAGGCTGATGATGATACGTGTTCATAAAAAAGATAATGGCCGTGTTACACGGGGGCTCGCTTTCCAAATGAAGTCGGTTTTGTTCAGCTTTCAATCACGTCACCCTCCAGTGTGAGGGGATCAGCACTTTGAGCCTAAAGGGGAGGGAAGCTTCCTGCCAGAGATGAATGTAGATGCCCATAGTGCCCTTACAGTTAACGGGGAGCTGCTTAGTCAGACGTTCAGCCCAATCAATGTTGACGAAAAAGATGGCCAAATTTCTTAATCAAGTTAACAAGCGCTCCTTTGTCCATTCATAGGTTTCTTGTGCTGGCTACAGTGTTGTGGTGTTTGCTAAATGTGGGTGCCCTGGCAGTGACAGGCTTTGCGTCCCCCTCAGATACAAGAGTCTGGGTTGTTTTGCTCCTTCTGGCCCTTCCATTATCCGGGGAAATAATTCTATATAGCTGACAAAAAGCAACGGCGTGCTTAAGCACAATTCCTTTAAATTACACCCGTGTGTGAGGAGCCAGATGTGATTTTACAGCATTGGGTTTGTTAGCTATTAGTTTCTGCATTGACTCACTCTTGAAGGCTATTGATTTTCATTGCGCTTTGTGTGTGTGTGTGGGTGTGTGTGTGTGTGTGTGTGTGTGTGGGGAGGAAAGACAGAAAATCCTTGCCTTGAAATTTATGTTGCATCATTTCCTTTCTCCAAACAGCTTAAGCTTGGCAGTCAGTTTCCAAGATGTCACAGGATACAGACATCAGGGATAGAGGCGGAAAGGATTTGAGCCTCGGTGGCAGTCGGGAGATGGGAGAGAGTTCAGCAGAGGGCCAGCTCGCCATCCGAGCGGTTCTCATTCGGCGAACATAGATGCCAGGTGACCTTCATCCCCTGGGGGTATGTTTTCAAGGCGTACAACTCTCTTATCTTGTATACTTGTCTCCTCATCTCTGTTTTACATCTTTTATCCTCTTGTATGTGGCGTATCAAAGGGATTTACAGCCCAGAGGGTGTGGTACAAGCCACGGCGTTTGCAAGGTCCCGTTCTAAGCGACAATCTATGTTGCTCTTGAGCAACCTAAACAGCTACATTTCCTCAACCCCAACACCACCAGGGACCTCACACTTCAGAGTTGATTTAGCTGGTTGTACCACAGCCGCCTGACCTTCCTCCAAGCCCGTCCCTTTCCAACAGGGCAGCATGCTGTAGCCTTAGTAACCATAATCACACACTCCCCTCCGCCTCACACTCTAGCCTCGGCATCCCCCCCCCCCCCCTCCCCACTTATTCCTTTCCTTACAGAGGGCATCCAGGTGAATGTCAGCAGTCACCTCTTATTTCAGGCTGTTCCCTCTCGTCCACCTCCCTCCCTCCGTCCTCCTCCACCTGCTCCTTGATGCACGGCCTTGCTTGATAGAACCACAAAGCTGCAAAACACTGCAGGGCAAAACACAACAGTGGAGTTTGACCCGGGGCAGCCACCAAATCACAGCATAAACATCACACTATTACATGGCTCCTTCACTTCACGGGGGGATTGCTGTTGACTATGTTTAGACAAAGAGGTGAAAATAAAGAGAGCCAGCATGTGTTTGTTTATTGTATAATCCAAAATTAGAAAAAGCCACAGCTCTGTGCCTTTGTAGATATATCTGTAGGAGAGATAAATGATTTTATTTGCGCCGGCAGAAACTTGAAAATTAACTATAAATGAAATGAATTTAGCTCAAAGGGCAGCTTGCTGAGCTCGGCCCCAGCCGAGGAGAACTGCTGACGAGCGTGATGGGAGATTTGCATAATTGTTTTTGTAATCGTTGGCAGTTCTGTCGGCGCAGACGTCGTCAAAGACACAATGACCATGACAAATAGGTAGACATCAGGAAACTTCAGGGGGTCATTTCTACCCATGATGTTTCAGAGTCTGAAAATAAATCACAGTTTGCTCAAAAGCAACATTTAGCAAGGCCTTGTACACAAGCCTCTACTGGAGCTACATTTGAGGTTTGAACATTTTTGTATTGCCCGATGTTAAAAATATAAACAAAGGAACGTGAGTCTACAGAAGTGATTGCCATGGTTGCACCTTGAAAGGCATTTTCCTCTTGAGCGTTATTATGTTGTTGCATTGTTAGCCTTACTTATCAAGAGAAATTAAACACAGTCCTACACGGTTGCCATGCCAACACAAGTCTGTTTCCTTCAGACAGGGCTTTGTTGTTTGGGGGGTGGGGGGTGGGGCATTTGAGCAGATTTGAAGCAGGAAATCAGGCTCTTTGGAGAGGCAAAGCTGTGCTTCAGCTGTCAGCTACACTCTCCTCAGTCAGCTCTGACTCAAACCGTCACATCACAGGGCTGTGTCTTAACAAAAACATTCAAACGGCTGCAACAGATGGACAACATTGTTTAATTTTTTAAAAACCCCATTGTGGATCACAAATTAATGAATTCATTGTGTGTAAAAGCATAACTAATGTAATAGCTGCAGGGTGATTGATAATGAGCCAAAAGGAGCCAAGTCTTTGAGAAAGAACAGATCTTAGAAGGGAAATTCATAGATTTTCTGCATGAATTAATACAAATGTATGACTCTCTCTACAGAACCTGATTGGTCATCGTCAGCTTCCTCCGTATCCAGAAAAGTATTAAAGGAGTTTGTCTGATCAGTGTCCTGATGCCATGTCACTGTGGCTCATCATTAGTGAAGGCAAAAAAGACTGTGACTCAGTACACAATGTTCTTTAAAGTGCATACTTTCAAGCAGCACACTGTAATCACAAGAAACTATTTGGGCACACAAAGAAAAAAAACATTCCAATGAGTCATCTCCCATTCATTCTTAAAGGGTCAGTTCACCACCATCACAACATAACATAACATATTCTGTCAGACATCGATATTTAAGCCATGGTTCGGTTCATACCTCTTTTTTTTTTGCTGACTTCAATTTGCCCGGGGAGTCGCAATTTCAGGGTTATTATCCATCTTGGGCTAATTAACCTAGCCTAACTTGCAGGCAGACTCTTTTGGTCACAGTTGGAAGACAATAAAATAAGTGTATGGTGTTATATTTACACGGTGGATATTTTACAAGCACGGAATGGATAAAGCAAAAGGGAAGTGTGAATACACTATTGCAGATGTTATTCGGCACCATGTTGGTAGAACAGTAGGCTATGTCAACAACAAGCCAAAACACCAGTGGAAATGATGGAGAGGAATTTGTTGTGTGTGTGGAGGAACTGCTGGCAAGACTTTATTTCCTAACGCTATTCGAACACAACAAGCTCCTCTCGCCAACTCTGACTCACATTTCCGCTGTCGTCTTCCTGCAACATCTCGCCTCTCACGAGATTTAAGAGCGAGAATTGTGAGACTTCTGTTTCTCGTTAAAAAGAAAGGGTGTCACGGGGAATCGGGGATCCTTTCCATGATGTTGTCTGACACCTGGCATGACAGTCTGAGCCTGTCGGTGGCAAAAAGAAGCACTTTTTGTGGATGTAATTTTGACAGGCGCAATTACCCTAAAGTAATACGTTGCAGCCACTGCAGCTGGTTCGCGGCTGCTGGCTGAAGCCATCTACTGCAGGGATTCCTAAATGTTTTGTACCTACTAGTTGTTTTGACCCCTATATGTGAAAATAGGGCACATGTTTAAAAATACAGAAATGATCCTGAACAGTTAGGGTAACATAATTTGCATATTA